CTCCTGGGTCATAGGCAAGGGACGGGTAGTGCACGCATATGGTATGATTTAGAATTGACTAGAGTGCTTTAGGTAAATAACGTAAAGATAGTAATCGGGTAGCAGGAGATGATATTCTGTGCCCGCTGAATAATATAAGTAACACCCCCATCTTGGGGGAGTTGCAAAGTATTATTTATGTTGCACGGGGTGATCCTTTAGGTTAAAAAACTTAGGACACCTCATTCATGTTAAAATAATTCTTTCTTTATTCACTCTATTCCTCCTCTCTCTTAGACTAATTCACATGATTTGAGTTCGGCTGGGACCCACCATTGTGGACCTCAAGGAGTGCCTAACACCTTCTACTCGAGGTAATTTGAGCCCTTACCCGATCTTTGGTGACGCAATCTAGTAAACCCGAGTCATTTGCAATAGGTGCCCTAACACACCTCAATCCATGCGACTCTTTTTTAATAACCCTTCCTCCCTTTTAAAAGAGTTGTCATGACGTCTAAGCCCGATTTTTGCGAGAAGAACGGGGCGCGACGGCCTTCATCCTTGTGACAGTCAAGTTAACTTACTCCACCAATCCAAATTCAAATCTCAACATATATAACCCGTTGGTAGAAAAGAAACCCTTCACACAACATCATAATGATCGCACATCCGTAGTTTACCCCGCAGGTGATAACCCACCTGCTTAGCTTCAAACTGACATATCTCCATAACCTTTAATAGCCACAACTACTACGCCATCACATAATCTTCCTGGGTTTGAACTCACCACAAGACATGAAAAATCTACTTCGTTCCACATTTAAACAACATGAAAAATCTTTTAACACACTCATAACTCGAGACTATACGTCACATCAAGATAGAAATCAAGCACCCAATAGTCCTTTTTACATCCCAAACAAACTCTTCCCGTCATATTCGAACCATCTAGACACATCCCATAGTCACATCATACTCATCATATGGTCACCCAACCATTCATCGAGCCACAATTCCACTAGTAGGGAAACTAAATGACTTATAAGTCCAAAAGCACATGCTCACACAACTGAAACTACCGAGCTTGAGCTGTGGTCCTAATCTGGCCTTAAGAACTCTAGATTGGCCCATCACCAAAACACAGAAATTACATCTTACACCTCATCCCTGGAATCACAAGCCGGTGATGCACGACTGATACTGAGCGCTCACATGTGCATTGAATGCGTGGAATGAATTCAAAAAGTTATGTTTCAAACTGAATCAATTCCGCACAATAAGGAAAGAAAGATGGAAAATTATCCTAAATGCCATGTACTCTCTCGAAGATAAGTATGGACGTCATCATACCAATCCGCAAGACTTTACTAGACACCCGCTCATGATTGTAGAACCTATGAACCTATGGCTGTGATACCACCTTGTCATGACCCAAAATCTAACTAGCCGTGATGACACCTAACCTCACCCGCTAGGTAAGCCAAATAACAATAATCTGATTCAATTAATAATTAAATGACTCTAATATACTCCCCAAGGACTGGTAGTATAAATCATGAGCTTCTAAGATTAGAATTTACAAAGATGATATGAAATAAATACATCATTTATTCAAAATGTACATAAACAGATTTTTATAAATCTAAGGCTACCATGAACAAGAGGCAGCTACGACCGGAACATAGGTACGTCTTCAAATCTATCTCACGTCGATCACAACAACATCAACATCCAATATTTGCATGCAAGGTGCAGAAGTGTAGTATGAGTACAACCGACCCCATGTACTCAGTAAGTAACAAACCTAACCTTAGGTTGAAAGTAGTGACGAACCTGTACCAAGGTCAGAGTCCACTCTAATAACCAATAACATCTCATAATAATACAATTTAAAGCAGCACAAGTAATAACTCAATAATAGAATGCTCAGCTCGTATATAATTTCGAAAACTGTGATTTTTCCCAAAAACTTTCAACAGGTAAATACTTTAATTTTTAAATGTCATGAGGAAAAATGCATCTCTATGCCTGTATGTCAAGTGTGCATGTCAATGCGATGCAACTCAGTGATAAAACCATATGCATACTCTTAGAGTTTCATTTCACTCAGTCCTCCAAGTTACCCAGTCCTCCCAGTCACTCAGTCCTCACAGTCACTCAATCCTCCCAATCGCTTGGCACTCACACTCAGTAGGTACCTGCGTTCACCGAGGGTGTGTACAGACTCTGGAGGGGCTCCTTCAGCCCAAGTGCTATAACAAGCCAATCATGGTATAAATCAGTCAACCATGCTGTGGTGTGCAACCCGATCCCAAAAATAATAATATATATATAAAGCCAATATGGCCTGCTGCTGCGTGCAGTCTGATCACATAATCATCCTTACAACCGAGCTCACCAACTTTGTTTTCATCAAAAATGGAAAAAACCTCCAGTTTATAGGAATTTTAATGTCCGAGCGCCACATGTGGTGTGGGGAGCTACCTATGGCACTGTTTCCAGAACCTTTAAACATCCCAGCGCCAGGGCTAGTGCCCCACGCTACCCTGGGCGCTGGTGATAGGATTTTATTTTTTCCGACACAAAAATAGGCATAACTGTCTCATACGATGTCCGAATTCAACAATTCATTTTGCCATGGCTCCGTAATCTCAGTACGGATCTAATGCTTCAATAAAAACTGAATTTGGTGCTCATTTGCGTAATGTGATACCACGTATTCTTGAAAAATCGTTGTCGAAACATTCTAGAAATATTCAAATTAAATTCCGTTAAACATCTGAAATCCACCCGAGGCCCTTAGGACCTCAACCAAATATACCAACAAGTCCTAAAACATCATACGAACTTAGTCGAGGCCTCAAATCATATCAAAAATGTTAAAACCTCGAATCATACCACAATTCAAGCTTAATGAAACTAAGAATTTTTAACTTCTACATTCGATGCCGAAACTTATCAAATCAAGTCCGATTGACTTTCAATTTTGCACACAAGTCATAAATGACATAACAAAGATATTTCAATTTCCAGATTATGATTCCGACCCCATTAAAACGTCAACATCCCGGTCAAACTTTCAAACTTTAGATTTTCTATTTTCGTTATTTCAAGTCAAATTAAACTAAAGACTTCAAAATGAATATCCATACATACTCCTAAATCGGTCAACTCTTTTCATTTAAGTTTCTAGACAAGGATTGTTATTTCAATTTAATTCCGAATCATCCGAAAACCAAACTCGACAATTCACTCAAGTCATAATAAACATTACGAAGCTGCTCAAGACTTCGAATTGTTGAAAGGAGCGTATATGTTCAAAATGACAAGTTGGGTCATTACACTTCTGTTGGACCTCCTACAATTTTCAACATCAAGCATCCTTTAAAAGATAACCAATTCAACCCGTGGTTTGATCTTGGAGTGGAGAAAGTTGATAAAATGAACTGGTTTTATACTTTGGCACAGCTCAGGCAAGTACTCAACAACACGTTACACACATACCTTGGCATAATTTAATGATTAGTTGTAGTATTCTGTTATTTTATAAATATGTAGATTTTTTATTTTAAAATTGTAGTTAAATTGTATGAAACATTGATAAATAATCAAATCCATTTTTTTGCAACACATTGATGTTATTTTATACTATTTGAGGAAGAGAGAAAAGTATGGTCCTGCAAACAAAATACGATTTACAACCACTAACTGTATGTTCAAGATTAGAATTGAGCAAATTTATGAGAGGTATATTAATTCCCCTGCCGATAAGAAGCTTGTTGTTGTCAAACCCCAGGATGACATGGCAGAATACATATTGGGGTACCGATTACTTGTAAATGTTGCATGGGACAAAGTTAATTTTGTGATTATGCCAATAAACATTGTGAAGAAATTTTATTGGTTGTTGGATGTGTTTGACATCACCGATAGGGTTCTGTATATTTATGATTCTATGGCCTCTTTACGAAATCACAAACTTGTTGAATCTGTTGTCAACAAGTTTGTTATTATGACCCCCTTCTACTTGTCATGCACCGACTTCTATGGCAAGCGTCCAGACATCAACTACAAGAACACAAAGGCATACATTGAAAAAGGTGTTACTGACCCTCTTGACATTCAATGGTTGGTCGGTGAGATACCCCAGCAAAAAGAAGGATCACTGTATGTGTTGCTTTCCTTCTATCTATTTAATAATTATATTTTACATTGAATGCTAAAAGATTTCCCCTATTATTTTTTGCAGTGACTGTGGTGTATACGTGGCAGCATTTGCAGAATATGTCAGCATTGGAGAGCTATCGATTTCAAAGGAAGACCTTTATGATATTGATCAACACCATCGACGCTATGGAGCGCTCCTTTGGGATTATGCTATGAAAAAGCAAGAGCTTGGTGAAATTAGTGAAAGTGAGGTGACTCGAAGATTAGCAAGAAGAAACAGGGCATCGACTGTGAACGAGAGAACACAGATCCGGAAAAAGAAGAATTAGTTGCCCTTTTCAGTAGAAAAATTATAGCTAAAGTATTTAGATGTAGCTGGATTGTAGTAAAGTTGTAGGCAAATTATTTATTAGGAAGGAGTCAACTGTAATTTATTTGTAGCAGATTTGTGTTACAGTTGTTTTTCCTTTTGTGTTGTTATTTTGTCCAAAATTCTAATACACAGAATTACAACATCTGTGGGTTTTTTTGGTTAAAAGTTGTTAGTACTTGATTTCGATTTTTGTACTATATAATTTGTTTACAGCATAACTACAATTATTTCTACAACTAATATACAAAAATATATAATTTATTCAATTTAGCTGTGTTGTTATGAAAGACTAAAAGTAATAAATAAATCCAGTATTTGAACAAAACAATTGCAAACCAATTGCATTAAGAGTTAAAATCTGTTTAGCAAGTATTCATTCTATGAGACAATGTTTATTCAAATTAGCAACACATTTACACCATAACTATAATTCTCTAGAATAGAACAAATACAACTTCATGTCTTAACGGATAGATTATCATCAACAGTTGCCACATGAAATCTTATACTTTTTTGCATTTACTTTATCATATGATTTGTATCTTTGTTTTTGAGGTCGCCCCGGTTGCTTTTTTCCGGTAGGTGGCTTTACAACTTCTTCAACTATATGTTGTGGCACATTCCATTTGCTTTCGTCAGGTAACGGGTCTACTGGTATTTCATAAGTCTGCAGAAGGCTCTCCCTAGTATAATAAGGATAACAATAGTTTTCATAAGACTCGTTCCTGTACCTCAAAGCCGCCAAAGCATGTGCACAAGGAGGTTCATCAAGTTGGAATTGTCCACAACTACATTTCTTGTTTTGAAGGCAAACAATGAAGCGCTTCACACCATCTACCATAGTATGGATGTAATTTGTTGAAGCCCTCACCTACAATTTCATTACAAACGCACAACAAGTTGTCAGCAACAAATACAAAACAAAATAACTACAATAATACAATAACTTTTCTACAATTAACAATATATATTTAGTTTGATGGAATCAATGATATGATGTTATTGGCTATAGGTTAATCTCGTCTTCTGTGATAATGTCCCGTTGTCCTCCAACTCTTTGTTGTATTTTTTCCCAAGGTATGTGAATGTACCCTTTGCATTCAATAATTTTTCATTAGTCCAACGTTCAAGAAGAGTCCTCATGTACTTTAATAGTTCTACTACGGGCAACTCTCTTGCATCTTTGGTTACCGCATTCAATGACTCTGCAATGTTTGATGTTATCGTCCATGTTCCGTTCACTATAGCATGTACCCGAGACCATCTGTGATAGCCAATATCGTATAGGTATGCTTTAACACGTGTGTCGATCTCTTCAATCTTTGACATTCTTTCATTAAATTCATCAAGCGTGTATGATCGTATCGTGGCAAAGCACAATTCACTTAACTTTAGATGACCCTTCTTGAACTTTGACTTTACATTTATCCAAATATGCCACATGCAAGCATAATGTGGAATGCCGATATAAATAGTAAATGTTTCCTTCAAGATACTCTCATTCTGGTTCGAAACAACACACATATTTGATTTTTCTCCATATGCATGTTTGAATTGCTCAAAACACCACCTCCATGATGCGTCCTTTTCTGAATCAACAACGGTGTATGCTAGTGGTAATATGCTACCTATCACACAGGTGGCAAAAAGAAATTTAATTTATTTAATAAAACTTAAGAATATAAAAAATACAGTCTCAAAAATAACTTTATAACAATATTTTTATGACTTATCTACATTGCCTGTTATATCCATTGTGCTAGCTGTTAGCATGATTCCCCTATATGCCGACTTCAAGAAGGTGCCATCAACTACTACAACTGGCCTACAATGCTCCCAACCCTTGATAGACGTATTAAGTGCAACAAATGCATACAAGAAACAATCATCTTCAGTCTTCTACAATTTCACTACCGACTCCGGATAAGTCTTCTCCAGAATATATAAATAACTCGGCAATCGGCTGTAGGAATCAGCACGATGACCTCTCAAAAATTTCAAAGCCTTTTCCTTTGCTCTCCAAGATTGCATGTATATTAAGTTCATACCATGATCAGACAACATGTCAATTTGTATGTCTTTTGGTATGTATATTGTCCTAGAATCTGCATATTTTGGCATCACCATGCTGCCAACTACCATGGCAGTTGGTTTGCATTGTATGTATGTGTTGTCCATCAAAGAGCATGTGTTCAAGCTATTGAATTTTCGAACCTTGAATAATGCTGATTCATTTATGCGGGTGGACTTGAAGTGCCACGTACAATTGTCACCAACACATACGAGGCAATAGCTACATAATAAAAATAATTCAAAAAATGTTATGAAAATTGAAGCTACAAAATACGAGGTTGTTTATGCACAAAAACTTATTTTAAACAATTTATATACAAAAAAAACTACAACTTATCCACAATATGAAATTGACAAATAAAATGTGAATAGCTTCTTGCACTAGACCTTTTCACCCTAAATTGAAACTTATTCATGACAGAATAGTGCTTCATTACACTGACAATTGTTTGCTTGTCTTGGTAAATTTGGTCAACTTCAATTATATTTGGCGTATGTTCTGTTATGATGATACTTTCATATTCCACAATTGCCGGAGATGTTTGTATATCAATCAACTTCATTGTTCCTGATACTTCTCCAATTATGTTATAATTGCTTGACAATTGTACCATGTTAGTATTACGATAATCAGAAGAACTTGCACTCAATTAAAAGTATAGCAATTCAGACCTTTGTATATTCATGTGTTCAGTATTTGAAATAATTCTTGTAGAGACATAACAATTGAACTACATTTATTATGTAGTAAAATTGTAGATAATATGTAGAAAAATTATAAAACACTTGAAATTGAAAAACATCAGCACTGAAAAAACATAGCAAACCTGCAATTATGCTCGCATTCGACATACTGCTTTCCAAATCGAAATCATGCACAGTTATACACAACGGATATATTCCTAAATTTTTGTTTTCCTTTTTTGTCTCCATATGCACTCACACTCCCATATCGCTCCAAATTTTTATTGGAGGATAATGTTCATTGACAGTGTATTTGATTTCAATGATTTTTGCGGAGGTATCGATCATTAGATACTCTGCAATTGCGGAATTCAATTGACTATAATTTGAATCCTCAGTAACTTCAATTCCGTCAACATCAAAATCTTAGTGTCTCCCAACGCTATCCCACCGCCCATTAAATTGAAGCATAATCGCTAATTTTGACATTATATCGTGAAATTCAATTCGATTGTAGCTAATTGTTTACAATTGAATTGTTCAAAACCATTGTTTATGGAATACCAGAGGAAACCAGAAAAAAATAGAGAATAGAAGGATGCGATGATAACCACTAAAAATCTGCGTAATAGAAGAATTCTACGAATATGTTGCCTTCATAAATGGTGCGAGGATTGCATCAGTAAAATCTCTAAACGATGATTGCAACATTAAACAAATGTATAGATTTTGTAGATAAATTGTGTTTAGGTTGGGTAAATTCATAAACATGGACATTTTTTATAATAAGGTTTGAAATATTTTATAGAAATGAAAAAAATCCCTTTATTGAACTCAGACCATCTTGACTCCTCCTCTCTTAAAGTTGGACTGATTTTTAGTCCAAATTGATTCATGAATAACTTTGCCAAAATATCTTTAAAATAATCTTTTTTGTATGATATCCTATATATGACCATAATAGAAGGAAAAATTTTTTATTAATAATTATACAATTCAAAAGAAAATGTCACATATTAAGTAAAGCTTGATAAGAGTTGGGCGGTTTGGGCTATGACCTAAATTTTAGCTCATCTACCCGTCCAAAATCTGCCCAACCCGCCCATTTGACATCCCTAGAAGGATCCATGAATCTCCACGTCAATAACTTCTGAACACATTTCCTAGAAGTCTTTCTCCTTTTCTTTTTCCTGTTCGGGGTTGAAAGTAAACAAATTTCCTATAATTTCAACTTCAATTTGGTATCTTAAGTCACTAACTTCTAAGACATAGTTAGTTACAATAATTTGAAAAATGATTCGGATAGTCTTTTTTGTTTGACACGGTACCAAGCTCGAACTCTTGACCTAGTGGCATGAAGAAGAATTTGTCAACCATTATGAACAAGGATGGCCGGTTTTGGATAGTCGGCCTGTAATTATTTTGTAACGGATTAATGTCAATACATTTTTGCGTTTATGATTTTGTGGTCAAAAGTCGCTTATAATTTCCAGGAAGATATGTTTGCTTATTCGTTATTTTTTTCCTTTTTAATGAGAAACACTTCTCTATGAGAAATTAAATTAAATACTAGTAGTTGTTGTTTCAACTTACAAAATTTACAAAATATCCAATTTTAAGTACTGTGTTATAATTTATAAAAAGGAAAGAAGCGAAAACTATTTTACAAACAAGTTCGAACTCTCTGAATGTATGAGTGTCACTTGTAAATGTCAAACTTGTTTAATCATTACAAATTTTGAGGGGTTAGTTACTTAGTTGAGTGATGTACTCATTGATTATACATAAATTTGGGCTACTACTAGTCCTGATAAGCGACTTTTGTCAAAATTAAAAACGATAAACAAGTCCAATAATATAGTTAAATTTTTTTCTCTTTCTACGTGCTCTCGGCGTACTTTAATGTGCTCTACTAACCTACGCCTCCGGCAATGGGAAGGATGGGAAGACCTAAGAAAAGCAATACGAAGGGTCAGTTAGCAGAATTCATTGCATCGGCGAGTCTGAATGGGGAATCAGGCAAATCGACACCAGTTCAAGGAAACCTAATTCGTGAAAAAGGGGCGAATACCCCCAAAATCAATGGAGATTCGAAGGACGACGACACCAGGTATAAGTAGGAATTTGAATTCACAGTACACGACCAAACAAGCTGAATTTCAATAGGCTGAGGTACTGAATTTGAACAATTTGGGGAACAAAAAGGCTGAAGGAGAAAATACTGATGATACTAACATAGGGAGGTAATTGATTATAATTGAAGGAACTGCGGGCAGGAAAACGACAAATGAGGTGATAGGAGCGCAATTGCAATTGAATAAGAGCTCTAAGGATGATATGCAGTGTGTGAAGACAGGGAAGGAAGTCAATATAGAGACTGGAGGCTTAGGGTTTAGGAACCCAAAACTACTGGTGGAATAAATGCTAATGAAGGCAAATCCCGGGCGAATTTGATCGCTAGAAATACGCTTGCTGCTAGGAGATGTGGCTTACCTATGTTGCGCCAATGATTCAAAATGGTGAGAAAATTGTTGAATTACAACAAGCTGAAATTGAAAAGAAAACTGAGAAGTGGAAGATGGCAGTTATTTTGTATGCGGTTGGAGATACACCGAGTATTGGAGCTATAGAGCGATTCATTGCCTCGCAATGGAACTTTGTCGCTAAGCCGAAAGTGTATTACCATAATGATGGTTTCTTTGTGGTGAAATTCAGAAGTGTAGAAGAGAGTAATGAAGTGCTATACTCAGGCCCTTGCACAATCAATAGTAAATCGGTAATTACCAAGGTTTGGACCCCTGATTTTGATTTCAAAGAAGAGGTATTGAAAATACTTCCCCTATGGGTTAAACTTCCTAACTTGCCACTGAATTGCTAGGGAATGGATTCAGTAAGTCGTATAGGAAGTGGGCTAGGGAATCCAATCTATGTTAATGAGTGTACAACTAAAGTAAAGAGGATCTCTTATGCCAGAATTCTCGTGGAAATGGACATCACTAGGCCATTGCCTACAAAAATAATAGTTAAAGACCTAAATGGACAGTTCGAGCAAGCAATTACCTATGATTGGAAGCCTGTGTACTGTAGCACCTATTTACAATTGGGCCACATTTGTCAAGCCAAGCCACCACAACAATAAATGATTAAGCCACAGAAGCAGAAACAGGAATGGAAGCCAAGGGAACAGGGAAACCAAGGATCCACAAAGGAAGATGAACAAGTAAATATGAGGGATATAGAGCCAGAGACAAGTCATACTAGGCAAGTACAAAATCCTGTGCAAAAGTTACCAGCTGAGAAGAATGAAGGATGGCATGCAGTTAGAGAAAAGTCTGCTACTAAAAAATGCCCAAGAAACTACAGAAAGAGTAGTAGCAATGGGTAATGGCTTTAATGTACTCAATGAGATACATCCTAACCAGATAAACAATATGACTAGTAGGATGGAAGGAGGACAATGTAGCCATGGGGGAGTCCTGGAAGATGGTTTGCCAGAAAAACTATTCTAGTGAAGTTGGTTAGTTGAATGTTAGAGGCTTAAATAAAGCCTATAAGCAGAAGAAGATACAAATATATATTAAGGAGCATAATATTAGTATAATGGCTATTATAGAGCATAGAGTACAAGAGAAATATTCACACAAAATTATGCAAAAAATAGTTCCTAAATAGGAATGGTGTGCAAATTTTGATGGTGGAGGTAAAGGCAGAATATGGATTGTTTGGGATCCCAATAAAGTCAAATTTACTATGCTTGGGCATAAACCTCAGTAGATTCATGGGGAGGCACTCATATCACAACTATATATGGCCTGCATACAGTAGAGACAAGGAAAAATTTATGGGTGGATTTGCTAAGCTGGAGTCAACATCAACTAAAGCCTTAGTTGTGTATGGATGACTATAATGATATACTATCAGTGGATGATAGAATCAATGGTAGTCCAGTTCAGAAAAATGAAATTAAAGACTTTAATGAATTCTTGATAGTTGCCAGGATGTCTGAAATGAGAACAGTGGGAAGAAACTTCATATGGACTAACTCGAATGTGTTTAGTAGAATAGACAGAGCGATAGTGAATGCAGAATGGGTAACTAACATGCCCCAACTGGATGTTGTGACTACGGATCCTTTTCTTCCAAATCACTCTCCATTGTGTGTCAAGTTTGGGGATGAGCCAAAGGCCTCAAAGCCTTTTAGATTCTTCAAATATTTGGCAGAGCATAAGGACTTCCTACCAATAGTTTCATGAGCTTGGAACAAATCTCATCAAGTGGAACATATGTCTAGAATCTAGAGAAAGCTGAAGGAAGTTAAGAAGAAACTAAAAAGGCCGAGTACAACTGAATTTAAAGCAGTAGATATAAAGGTTAGGACTGCTAGAAAAAAATTAAATGAGATGCAAGAACATATGAGAACTACCAACTCACCTCTACAGAGCTTTGATGAGGAGAAAGAACTGAAGAAACAGCTAGAGAAATGGGTTAAAATAGAGGAGAGCATATATAAGCAGAAATCTAGAAACCAATGGCTGAAATTGGGAGATTCTAACTCTGCTTTATTCTTTGCAGTATGAAGAATAGAATAAGCCAAAACAAAATCAGAAGTCTAGTGACCAATACAGGAGAGGTAGTACAATCAATGAAAGCAATAGAAGAGGAAATGGTGGGATTCTATAAAGAGTTACTGGGATCCTCTACTGATGCTATACCACCTATACAACCAGACATTATAAAAGAAGGAAATGTGCTAGATAAGAGCCAGCAATTGAAACTAATTAAGCCTATCACTGTAGAAGAGGTTCACAATGCACTCAAAGGGATTGATGATCTAAAGGCTCCAGGGTGTGATGGTTTCAACTCAATGTTCTTTAAGAAATCACGGGGCATCACAAGTCAGGAGATCACCAAGGCAGTGCTTCAGTTCTTCAATACAGCTGAAATATCCCTGCCTATCAATATAACTATTGCTACCTTGATATTAAAGATACATCATCCTTCAACTATTAAAGAGTTGAGGCCTATTTTCTGTTACACAATGTTGTATAAAATAATCTCCAAGATTTTGACTAACGGACTACAAGGCCTGATGGATTATTTAGTACATAAAATATAGTCAGGCTTTGTGCCAGGGAGAGTTATCACAGATAATATAATCCTAATTCATGAGCTGGTGAAAGGGTACGGGAGGAAAGGTATCTCACCTAGATGCATAATTAAATTGGACTTACAGAAAGCTTATGATTTCATCGAATGGTTTTTTTTAGAGCAAGTCCTGGCGAGTATGAATATACCAGAAGGTTTATTAGATGGATAATGACTTGTATTTGCACAGTGTCCTACTCAATTCTTATAAATAGGAAACTTGTGGAACCATTTAAAGCTAAGAAAGGCTTAAGACAAGGTGATCCATTATCTCCATACATATTTGTCCTTGGTATGGAATATCTTACTAGGTTGCTCAAGACCTTGAAGAATGATCCTGACTTCAACTTTCATCCCAGATGTGATAAGCTAAACATTATACAGTTGGGGTTTGCTGATGACTTATTGTTATTCTGCAGGGGAGATACTTTGTCTGTCCAAATGGTATACATCTACTTCATGGAATTTTCTAAAACATCTGGGCTAAAAGCAAATATGGCAAAAAGTTCTATATACTTTGGGGGTGTACCACAAGACATACAACATGACATAATGCAAGTAATTGGTTTTAGCAGGGGAGAATTGTTTTTCAAAAACCTGGGTGTTCCACTAAGCACCAAGAGGATCTCTCTAACATAGTGCCAACCACTATTGGAGAAACTAATAGGAATGATCACTTTCTGGACCTCAAAGTACTTATCCTATGCACGAAGACTTCAGTTGATCAAAATAGTGTTGTTCTCCATCTAAATTTATTGGTCGTAGATATTTGTAATGCCTAAGAAGCTGGTAAAAAAGATAGAAACTGTCTGTAGAACCTTTTTATGGACAACGGGAGTAGAAGCATCAAAAAAAGCTTTACTATCATGGGAGAAAGTATGCTCCCCAAAAACTGCTGGTGGAAACAATGTACTTGATGTATATACTTGGAATAGGGCTGCAATTTGTAAAATGCTATGGAATCTTTGTAAGAAAAAAGACAAGTTGTGGGTCCAGTGGGTTCACCTGTATTATGGGAAGAAATAAGCAGTATGGAAAAATACTCCAAATACTACATCTTGGATGGTCCAGAAGATCATTAAAGACAAGGGATATATAGAAGCAGCAGGAATCAATATGCAAGAAATGGCCTCTTGGAATTATTTCTCTGTTAAGAAGCTATATAATGCGGAGAGTTTCAAAAAGTAACTTGAAAGAAATTGACGTGCAACAACTTAGGGGCTCCAAAATAGATTTTTGTGTTGAATATGGCTATAAAAAATAGGCTTCTTACAAGGGACAGGCTCCATGCGTGGGGGATAACATATATATATTAAACTGTCCTATGTGTAATGACGCAGCTGAAAATATAGATCACTTGATGTTTAGGTGTGGAGTAGCTGAAAGCATATGAAGTAAGTTACTCACCTGGCAAGGCATGGCAAGGCCTATGATGGAGTGACAAAGAAAGATATTGATGGGAAAAGACAATGCAAAAGGAAACAGTGTATGTGCACAACTATACAGGTTGACATTGTCATGTGTTGTTTATCACATATGGAAGGAACGAAACATGAGAGTATTCCAAGGGCAGGGAATGTTAGTTAGACAGATTGTGCAAGAGGTTGTCAGCAGGGGATCAAGATAGAGCAAGTTAGTGAAGAAAATAGCAGAAATGAATTTTTGGCCTTGGTCTTTACTACTGATATTGAGTTGTTAAAGTTGTATGAGGCTGGGGTCATCCAGACTCGTTTTTTTTTTGACATTGTACATATTGATATTGATGGATTTAAAGTATCTTAGAATTATGTTTTGATGATCTAACAAACTTATTGTTAAGAACCAGATAAAGGACCTCATGTACACTTGGTATATATCTCTATCAACGGACTCAAGCTAATGTGTGTTGTATGACTTTAGATAGAAAGGAACCTACTCAGACACCTGATCCCTTGGAGCTTCCCTGACAACAGTATAAAGTCAACTCTACAGTTGGAAAGTGACTGCCTGCACTGTACATGCTACAGTGCAGAAACAGTGCAGCAGTCACTTCCCATTGGGAAGGGGCTTTTTACCAACCAAGTGTTTACATCATCCAAGTGATGTCATCCAAAGGATATTAACAAGAAGCATTACAACAAAACATCACTTGAACACTTTATGAATTGATTCAAGTACTCCAGATCTGACAATCAAGTATTGAAGTCACAAGTGCATCAAGAACAAAGTATAACACTACTACGGACCAGTTCCTACAACAAGTCTTTTGTATGTCCTTAGTTGAGTTGTAACTTTGTATTTGTTCTTCATTGTAATTCCTACTTTGCTTATTTAGAAGCTTTAATTAGGAACCTTGAAAAACCATAAACCCTTAGTGTTTGTGTCATAACGAGAGTTAGTCATGAGTTGAAGTCTTTGTAATAGGTGTATTGCAAAGTGGCTTGTAATAGGTGTAGTGTAAGTTAGTGAGGGATTAAGAGTTTAATTCCTAGGTTGCAATAGGTTATAATCTAAAGATTGCTCAGTAGTGAAGTTGAAATCCTACCAGTGTAGGTCGTAGTTTTTTATCCCCTTGAGTAGGGATTTTTCCACGTAAAAATCTCTTGTGTCATTTACTTACTGGTTCATTAGCTATTTCTGTGGGAACTGGTATAGGACCGGGTCTCTATACAGTTTGGTGGACTCATACATTCTATCAATTGGTATTAGAGCAGGTTCTTTCTTAAAGATTAACACCTAGAAAGGATCCTCATCATGGCTGCTCCACCAAACTTCGAGGAAGGACAATCAACCTATAGACCCCCGAGATTCAACGGCCAATACTATGGCTGGTGGAAAACTAGAATGCATGACTTTATAATGGCAGAAGATTCCGAGTTGTGGGATGTTATTTGTGATGGTCCATATGTCCTAACAAAGAAGGTCGGAGACCCTGCTGTAACAATGCCAAAAAATAGGAAATAATACAACGACGCAGACAGGAAAGCAGTGGAGAAAACCTTTCGCGCCAAGAAG